CTCTCTTTCTTTCTCCCCCCCCTCTCTCTCTCTTTTTCTTCCCCCTCCTCGAAGCTTAGAAAGCAGTTTGGCCAAAAAAGAGTGTCGAAACAAAGATCACGCATTTTAAAGATGGTTAAAGCGATAGGTGTCACTGGAAGAAAATAAAACTTGAGTTAATAAAATAGGCCTATAGAGTCTATTATGATCTAGGACGTCCATCTTGAATTAAAACGACTTTTTGTGCTTTTCAGCAATGTTTTTCAGTAAAATCCACACTGAAATATATTTTGAAATGGACATATTTTATAAGGCATTGATAAAAACCCAAACTTTGTTTTTGAAAATTAAAGAATGATAAAAATTGTCTCATGGGTAGAAAACATATTTTTTTTCTTTGATTTCACTATTTTGACGAGCGTCCAATTTCACTCCGACGCCTCACAAGGAGAATAGCAATGATCTCTCATTCTCTACCCGGTATTCAATTGCGAGTCGGAGAAAACAAGAAGCAACACTGGTCCGATATGCTGTCTCGAGAAGGCTGTTTTTGGTACATAAATGTAATGGGCCAACATTTCTAGAATCGAAGGGTCTTCGCGTACGAGCGTACTACCCAGTGCCCATTGGCGGATCGGTTCTCTTTTTGAGGCTGCTAGACAGGCGATCGGCTTCTGACGGTCGCTTTCCACCCCCAATCTGGCTACCCCCGCCTACCAAACCGAACCGAACCGAGCAGAACTGATCGTGCCGCTGGACACTGGGTATACACGATGGAAGGTCCAGCTTTTAGCTCCATCCCAATCTGGCGAACCTGACAAGTGGCGCCAGTCCTCGGTGTCGCAAGCAATCCACGTAAGTCCGTTTCGGTACTTTTGACACCAGAGACAAACAAAATCTTGTTTTTGTTGTGTTCTTCCAATCAGGAATCATGAACAGCAAATCCCTTGTAAGCCTAAGCAATTGCATTAACTGTATTTTGGTGATGCTGAAAGGTACATCTGTGATAGAGCTTCGGGAGGGTGGAAAAATCGAAAATTCTCGCAATTAGGACGTAAGGGAATTGCTTGCAACAACGACTCAGTGGCCATCCTCAAAGGGAAAGTACTCACCTGCCACACACGGTCTCTCCGTTTCCCCAATGGAGAATAGCTTGCCTCCCTTCTTGCTGCAATTGTTGTGCCCATCTAAGTAGGATGACGTCATCAGGAAAGCCACACAAGAGTTGTCTCTCTTTGTAAGCCAGCCGAGGGGACATTGGCCACGGACTGTGGAGGGCGGGAAGCATCTTGCAGAAGTGACGGTGCTTTCGGTCTCTGTGTGCTTGCTGGTGGTGGTGGTCCGGAAATATCTCCTGGTGCTCCTGGTGCTCCTTAAAGCGGTACTGGTTGTGGTGGTTGTGGTGGTTGTGGTGGTGGGTGGGGTGGTTGTGGTGAGTGCGGTGGTTGTGGTGGGCGTGGTTGCTGTGGTGGTGGTTGAGGTGATGGTGGGAGGGTAGCCTGTCGTAGCGGCGTCTCCCGCACCAGGACTAGAGCTGGTGTCATAAATCGGTGTACTCGCGGTGGTCACCATGGCAACAGTGGAGGTAGTTTTGTGTGTTTGTGTCTGTGTCTGAGGCGTGGTACTGTGTGTCAGGGCTGGATTAGTGGTCGTCTGTGTTTGTCCATCCAGACCTGTGAGAGAGGAAAGAAGTCGTGTGGGGGTGGAGGGAGAGTGGGAGGGTTGGGGGTATGAAGATAGGCCGGATTTGGGAGGAAGGTGGAGGATGGGGAGTGAGAAGAGGGAAAAGAAGAGCGGGGGAGGGGAGATGTATGGGGATTGGCTCAAATGAGACGTTATCTATTATCTATAGTAATGGTTATTTATCAATTATAATAAATGGTAATTTAAGTTATCAACTTAAATAGAAGTGTTGACTTACTGAATATACAAAATTAATGGTTGTCTGTTAACTATGCTCAGTTTTTATTTGTTAACTAAAATAAATTGTTATCTATTAACTAAGTTTATAATAATAGTATATTTTTCAAATTACAAAGAGTTGTAACTTTTCAACTACAGGTAGGAGTTACTGCTTTGAAGTTGAATCTTTGGCCTTTAACTATCATGGTGGGGCAAACAAAATTAGATAATACTAGACTCGATACCTACAATCATTACCAATATTTTGTGAGCCCAAAGACTGGGAAACCGAATTATATTTAACCCTAACCCTAAACCCTAAACCCTAAACCCTAACCCTAATCCCAACCCTTACCCTCAATCTAAACCTATCCCTAACCCTAAACCCTAACCCTATCCCAAAATCCTAACCCTAACCTTAACTCTTATCCTAACCCCAACCCTGCCCCTAGCCCTAACCCTATCTCTAACCCTAGTCGTAACCTTAACCATAACCCTAACCCTAACCCAGTAACTTATAAGTTAAGCACCACTGGAGTATGACAGACTCCAAACGTTTAAACTAGGGTTAACTTAGGAACTAACCCTAACCCTAACCCTATCCTTAACACACCATGTAGCACCATTTGGGCATGCCGGATCCCAAAGGTGTAAGCTAGAGTTAACCAAAGACCTTCTAACAAAACATATCCTTTCTAGGGTTAATCAAATATCTATGGGTTCAACCCAGGAGAAGATGCCGCATCGATACATCTAAATTTCATGATCATTTGCAAAGATCGCACACACAACATAGATGGTTCACACAGCCAAAAAAAAAGAGTCTGCGTAAGTCCGGGAATTTGTTCAGATGGCGCTACAGTCTTTGTTTTGAATCTCTCTTTCGTTAATACAGAAGAAGAATAGGAATAGCACCCCCTAGCGAAAGCAGATCAACTGCTTTTCATCGGTCTAAAATCTGCTGTTCCGGTTCGCCCAATGTGGAACTTTGGGAGTTTAATGACCTCTCGCCTCTCATTCTAAAGCCAAATCAGACGACGAAAATAATTGGCTGTTCCTCCTGAAAAGAGGTTTTTGACAGCGTAACCATTTTGAAAAGGCGTTCTTCTGAATTTAAATTCTAATCTATTAAAAAACTAGATTAATTAGTTTCACTTTGATTTTTCCACACAAGTGGGGTAAATCTGTTCGCAAAGTAGGTGCTTTTTCGAAGAGGGCGCCACCGAATTTTTTGGATTTTTTAAAATAGGCAAAGAGAGGAGTGAAACATCTTGTAATGTACGATGGGTTAACTCAGAAAATGCTGGTGTCCATTCATCTATTTCATGATTATGGATTCCCCTGGAAAGGCAGTTTCGTAATAGCGCCTCCCGAATGAGTCTGAACTGGGTGCCCTCCTAAGAGAGCAAAAACTACCAAGCTTTCCAAATTATTATGCGCTGCAACTTGTGTGTGAGAGAGAAAAATTCATTGGACGTAAACTTATTATACAGCAACTATTAGATTACCTTGTCTAGCAGAAAAACAAAAGAACTTTCTTTGCATAGTACAGTTTATTTTTCTCTCCAACTCCTTGTTTAGTTTGAAGATTACACAATTAATTTTATGTCTTTGTCCGGTCCATACTGTTATGACATCAACATCTGAGGATAAGGAAAGGGACAGGTGTGAATTAGAATCGGTGTACATTGTGACTGACGTCTTTTTATGACGAGGAAAATGTGTGTGGTCTGGAATAGAGAGGTAGAGATTTGTTTTCTCAGTCAAAAGACAAAAAGAAAAATACCCTACAAAACAAACAGAACAAAACGAAAGTTTTAAACAATGGTCTCAACAACAAGTACAACAACAACATAAACAACAGCAGCAACAACTGCCCCCTTCCCCCCCAAAAATATTTTAAAAACAATGATCATAAATTAAAGGATATCTAACAGAAATATATTAGTAACCAAACTAATTATTTAATTAAAAGAGCATGTCGAGGAAAAGTAAAGTGCACCATACTCACTTTTCTTAAGAATGTCAAAATCAGAACTGCTCAACCCATCAGCCCACAATGACATGTTGTTATATTGACACACTGTGTGGGCGTCGGCCATCGAGCTCCTCTTCTTGTGGAACACAGCACAAAATTTTCCCAGCACGATAGATCCATCAGGACACCCGCTCTCGTGTGTTTCATTATGATCCCCATCGTCTTCTCCTTGCTGTCGGGCTCCTCCCTTTTCTCTGTCTTCATTGTCTTCCTTCTGTTCTTTGGGGGAGTTCGCTTGATTGACTCTACTGTTGGGTGGGGCTGAAGTTCGGGGGATTGTCTCCGCGGGTTCCTGTGGGGTTGCTGGGAAAGGAAAATAAACCTTTATGAACACTGTCAGGTTCTATGCACGACACTCTTTGCTGGCATCGTCTATGTCTCACTCAAGCATTCTCCTTCAGCAACAGTTGCTATGACAAAAGCGTACGTAACAACAACAGCAGCCTTAGCTATTACTATCTCAACTTGTTTGATGAACTTGACCGCAGGCTCACGCTGAGACAGTAATAGCTAAGGCCACCCAGATGACGAGGATGCTCGGCACTGTCCCCCACTCAAAATGAGGATGGAGGAAAGATGACCTACACACGGTCTACCTCACCCATATACAAAGTGTTTGTGGGTGGTTGGAGGGCGCCACTAGTAGGTCCTACTTCTTTACTTTCCCTTCTGTTGTTTCCGTCCGAGTGTCTTATTTTTTCCCAGCACTAAATTACCACTATTGTGTTGGTGTGCTTCTCTTTACTCAAACAAAAAAAAAACAACACATTTTCTCAACTCCTCTTGCAACAGCTGGAAAGAATGTGGTTGAGCCAAACTCTGATAAAGGATCTGGAAGTGGCACAAAACAGCTGTCTGCGACTGATCGCCACCCAAGCGCAGTCCTCACCGATCGAGGCACTTGCTGCTGAAAGGGGTATCCCCAGCATAGAGTCTACCATCAATGCTAACTGCCACCAACCAAGAGAGAAGGCTCTGCGAATGTACAACGAC